TTTTAAATAAAAGAAAATATACTCTTGATATTCTTTCTGATTTTGGGTATCTTTCATCCAAACCTTTTTCTACACCTATGGATTCAAAAATTAAACTCTCAAAAAATGATGGCACTATTTTAAGTGATCCTAAAACCTATAGAACTTTAATTGGGAGATTGTTATACTTTACTGTAACCAGACATGATATAGCTTATTCTGTCCAAACACTTAGTCAGTTTTTATCTTCTCCTACTGACATTCATATGGCTGCAGCTCATAGAGTCCTTAGATATCTTAAAAGCTCTCTAGGTAAAGGACTTTTTTATTCATTCAAATCTTCTTTCACTATTCAAGCATATACTGATTCTGATAGGGGATCCTGTGTTGATACTAGGAGAAGTATATCTGGTTATTGTTTTTATCTTGGTGATTCTTTAGTTTCTTGGAAATCCAAGAAACAATCTGTTATCAGTAGGTCCTCTACTAAAGCAGAATACAGGGCTGCAGCAAATGCAGTCTGTGAAGCCCAATGGCTTGTTTATATTCTTCAAGATTTACATATTCATAATTCCTTACCTATTACATTATATAATGATAACAAATCTACATATCATTTAGCATATAATCCAATACAACATCAAAGAACTAAACACATAGAACTGGATTGTCATTTAATAAGGGAAAAGATTAATTCTGGACTCATAAATCTTACTCATATCCCTAATATTTATCAACTTGCAGATATCTACACAAAACCACTTGGAAATCCTCTCTTCAAGCAGTTTGCAGACAAGATGAACATGCTGGACATTCATGCTCATCTTGAGGGGGGCGTCTCAAGAATAAATAATTGGGCTTATTCTTATTGGGCTTAAAATGTATTGGACTGTTATATTATTTTAGCCTGTTAGCCCTTTAGTATAAATAGGTTACTTTAACCTACTGTACAGAGACGATTTATTATTTCTCCTTCTTCGTAATACAACTTCTTCCGCTTCTCTTCAATCTCTGCATTCGTTTAAGCTTTCACAAAACTCCTTTTCATTTTAAAACGTAACGTAAAACTATAAAAGTCTTTAAAGATTCATGCTTGTAATGTACTCGATAAAATGTTAATGAAACATTATATCAGATTAGGCATTTCTCTCTTACACCAAGCCTATCATATTTATGCACAAATGAAATGTTAGTTGTTAGCATTGTTTTAATACAACTAAACCTTACCTTAATGTATTTGCTGTCTCCATCGTTAGACTGTGTAGCATATAACGTTGCATCATGGGACAATTGAGACATTTTAACAAACATTACATGTCTCTATTGAGCTTTTTTGCAACAAAGTGTGAGAAGAAGCACCAAATGCAGTTGTTATTTCTATTAAGTTGTTGTAGCATTGACTGCATGTACTGTTATTTTTTGGTCAATCAAAGAGCGTTAACAATGAGGCATTATGATGTAATGTCGCTGATTTTTTATTTGTGCTTTTTGTTCATTTTGTTCTGGTTTTGTTGATGTTACTGGTAAAGAAAAATACTATTTTTAGAATTACTATTTGAAGGTGTAAGTTCATAAGAAGCATTCTGTGAATTTTTTTTAAAGTCTAACTAGTAGTTCTATTATTTTACAGGATTAACACAGGCAGACATAAGAAGCAACACTTTGAAAATCAAGTGATTTACAAATGGTTAAAAGTGTTATTTTAGTTAAAATACTTTTAGAGTGTGTTTGGGAGTTGGGTTTTGGAGGGGAGGGGGAGGTTGATGGGGGTTTATAACACTCCTTTTCATGTTTGGGAGTTTATAAATCTGGAGGGGATGGTTTTGGAGGGTTTTCATGACCCTCCAAAACCCTCTAAATGACTAATTTTTAAGTTCTCCCAATTTGGAGGGTTTTGAAGGATAATTAATGAAATGGTAATTTAAGCTCAATTAAAAATAAATATCAGTTCAATTATTTAAATTCGTCATATCTCAAAGTAATTTTAATTATAATTCATTCAAAAACTCCCTTCTTCCAAATTTATTACTCCCAAATACAAAGAAGAGCTTCTTCACCCTCCCCTCCCTTTCCCCTCCAACAACATACCTCCAAAGTCTTCTCCCTTCCCTCCGAACTCCCAAACATACCCTTAGGTGTATTGTTAGGTAAAATGCTATATGAAAAATTACAAATACTTTCACATTTATCTGTTACAACTTTAAGCTTTACAATGCTTAAAGCTAAGTAGCACAAAGCAATGTTAAACAATTAAGAGACCTGAAGCAAAATTTTAAACGAGGACGTTGATGTAGTGTACTTGTATTTGAGAAAGGATTTAATAAAGGTATCTCCCTCTAGCAAGATCAGAAAAGGTTGTATTCAAGTTTTGATCGGTTAATAACGTGGCCACTCGTACAGTTGTTCCAGAGCGCTGCGTCGGTGCCCCTCTCCGACTACCCTGGCATGATCACATCATCTTCTGCTGGGCCAGTTGGCCATCGGTCGGGATCCCTCTCCGCTGTCCACTTCGTTCGTTGCTCTTGCTCAAGGTATCTTCAAGGGATTCCAAATCATGGACGGTATTGGCAGTCTACTGCGGCATACATCTGTCATCCTGTTGGAGATCCACGTCAGAACATACTGTATTTCTTGGTCCTAATCTGGTTTCATGGAGATCCAAGAAACAACCTACTTGCTCATGGAGATCATATTGTCAAATATGTGCTTCCTAGTATTCCACTGATGTATATACTTGCTGATAGTTTTTCTAGTTTTTTTCGAAAGACAATTTGAACATTGTATTTCAATTGATCCATAAAAAAGCAGTTCGTATACGGTGCAACCGGGCCACCTCGAGCATGATGCCCCACTCAAAAAAACGACGTAGTTTTAAACATTTTTTTTTAAAAAAAAATCGTGTGAACAGTACACGCTTGAATAGTACACGCGTGTACAATAGCTTTTTTTTTCTTTTTGGCCGAGTAACATGAATGATGTAACTCACGTGTAAGGATATGTAACTCGCGTTATTGATAAATGTAACTCAAGTCCGTTCGAAATGTAACTTGTCAAATATATAGTATGAGAAATAAAATATTGATTTCAATGTAAACAATGAAAAGTAAGACTCTAATTACACAATTGCTTTAGGTAAAACGGGAATATATTTTGTTTTTAATATCATGGCCATAATTTTTTTAGGAAAGATCATTTTTTGTTTCAATAGCAGGGGTTGATTTCTTAATGTAACTCTGTTATTACAAATGTAACTCGCGTTGATGGCAAATGTAACTTATGTGTATACAGAATATAACTTGTTGGGAAATTGAACAATGATTTTTTTGTGTGTTTGAGATATTATAAACATTGATTTCAATGTAAACAATGAAAAATTGATCCTAATAGCTTAATTACTTTTTTTATAAATAGTGAATATGTTTTATTTTTAATATTAGGGCAATAAAAATGATATATCTAGAGTTTATTCTGTGGTGTAACTCACATACATTATGATGTAACTCACGTACATTAAAATGTAACTTGGGCAGAAGAAGATGTCACTTCATGATATATTATCAAATGTAACTTCAAGAATCAAAATAAACAAACTCAATGTCTTAAAACCTCTCAAAAATTATAAATTGAGAAAATTATCACCCGTAAGACTAAAACTTGATATGTTTCCCCATATATGACCTAGTCCTTTTTATTCCTATTTTGATGCAACCATGCTATGCATGGTCATTTATTAATTTCTTTCCTTTGTTTTTATTCCGCCGTTGCCCTCAATGGCTCAATGAATAAAAACGGAAGTTTTATCCCTGATTTCTCGGATATGATAAGCACGACACCTGTATTAATTAGTTTTCCTTAAAATGTCGATTTAACTCATAGTAATATTTTTTTTGAACCGACTCATAGTAGTATTTGATAAATGTTTTCATCATTTTTATTTTATGTTTTTGGAACCTCATTTTCTATAGTTACTTTCCCTTATTTCAATTGTATTTGTAATCAAATACGTACAAATAAATAAAATTATTGCATACCTTTTAATGTCAAAATTATATATTTCCTTAATCCCTTTTATGTTACTGTCCTAGCTAATTTTCGTATGACATTTTTTTACATGTTCTTTAATTTCACTGCCCAATCGTTCAAAAAAACTTCACTGCCCAATGAAAATTTTCCCAAATCACCAGATTTAATGTCCTATCTCCAACTCATATAGAATTTGAGATTCATTGTCATTTTAACTGCCTTATTAGTTATACATGTCTTAAATTAATGCTCTAATTTAATGCCCTTCTGAATTTCCCATTACTTATTGAAGCGCAACTTACTGCATTAAATTGCATGAGAAATGTGAACGCCACCACATTCCAAATACCCCAGACCACCAAAACTAGATGCACATAATTCGTTATGTCAAATGTTCTTTGGTATTTTTGTTGACCACATCGATCGGTCTTGTTTAACCCAATAATACAACTCTGCTAGCCGCCGTTCTCTCTTGCCATAAATACAGACTTTTCCCATCGGAAATTGCGCATCCCACAGCCCGCTAATACACGTTTCTTTTGAGGCTATTTCTGTCTTTTGTTGCTATGGTTTTAATTATGCTCGGTTATAATTGCACATGGGTGGTCATACATGTGGAAAGAAACATAGGAAGTCATATTCTAGGAAATGTATTAACTTATGGTCATACGCAGGTATTTTTCCCTTATAAATTCGGCAGTAATCTCAATTGGAGAAAAAGGTAAAAAAAGTAGTGTATGATTATTTATTTATTTTTTGGCAAAAGTAGTGTATGATTATTAATGCATTGTACTTATTTTATGTGGATTAATAAAATGTTGTAATAATTTTTTTAAAAGAAGTTAATTGATCAGTTATAATTAAATTATTTTAAAAATAAAGATAAGTAAAATCACTTTTTTTTTAGAATTTTGATGGAGGTGTGAAAATAATTGAAGAAAAAAAAAAGAAAAGTAAAGTGAAAGAAATAATATTCCTGGAGCATTGTGGATGGCTTGAGAAAAAGAAAGTGAGTGGATAAGAGGGAATTTGGGAAAAGAACTAAAAAAACACGTAGTGCTCTGCTCTTAACAGAAAGAAATTGTCTCGTATACCGGCATACTATATCGATACCAGGAGCCCGCCCCTACCCTACAGAAAAGAGCATTGTATTTCAATGGTTTGAGGCTCGGCTGTTTCACAGCTCGAACCTTCGAGTTCGAAATTCATCCGTCCGTTACAGGTCTACATCGACTTTCGCCTCAGCCTGCTGCCGCCTGGGAGTCGATCTGTCGAGAGCTCCACTCCACCGTCTAGTGCCGCGGCGTCGCCTGCGCGGCCGCCGCTGCTCGCTGCTATCAGTCATTTGTCCTCGCACCTCACATCACTCCTCTCCATCAGCCCGTCATTCACTCACTCCTCCTCCGGTTTCAGGTAAATTGTAATGCTAAATTGCTAAATTGTAATCCCTCGATTCCACTTTTCTCTTATAATAATGATGATTATAAGCTAACCAACCGTTTGGTTACTGCACTGCAAATTTGCCTCCTCTTTGCTGCTAGGCTTGCTCAGTTCCTCACTTCCTCGCATCATTTAATTTGTAACATAATTCCACTTTTCTCTTGGAAGGAATGATTATCAACCATTTCTTTACTGCCTCAATTGTACCATTTGATTTTCAACCTAATATGACTTTTCTCAATTTACTGCCTCAAATGGCTACTGCTTAAAATGTTTCTTACTGTCTTATTTACTCCGTATTAGGTAATGCATACTAAGCATGTTTTTACTTGGACTGTAATTCATCCCAGATCAGACTAGTTCAGACCAGACCAGACTTGGATAGTTATAAAAATACAAAGAGACCAGACCAGATCAGACCAGACCAGAACAGCAAATTACAGTCCAAGTAAAAACATCCTAACTGTATGAGCAGGTTTGAATCAAGGGAAAAGGTGCAAATAAGCCCTCGAACTAACTGAAAAAGTGTAAATCACCCCTTTTATACGACGCTCTATCCAGCCGTTGTCATTTGGGGAGGTTCCCGGTGAAATTTTTTGATGAATTTTTTAAGCATCTTCTTCATTAAGTCTAGTTTACTCATACCAAATTTCAGCTAGAAATTCAACCGGGAAGGCATTCAAATGATTTTCTGAAATATACTGCGCTGTTTAACTGCGCAGTTATCTTCAAACATTTATTTGACTGCCTTCCCGATTGCTTTTTTAGCTGAAATTTGGTATGGGTAAACTACACTTAATGAAGAAGATGCTCAAAAAAATTCATCAAAACATTCCACCGTTAACCGTCCCAAATGGCGATGGCCGGACAAAGCCTCCTATAAAAGGGGTGATTTGCACTTTTTCGGTTAGTTCGAGGACTTATTTTCCCCTTTTCCCTTGAATCAATGGAAAGTGTTGACTGTTAATATTCTTAACTTTTGGGAAAATTCAGTTGATGTAGTAACTTTCTTATACTTTGTTAATACTCCCTCCGTCCCTAAAAGGATTGCCAAGTTTGACCGGCACGTAGAATAATAAAGTAAAAATTGTGTAGAAGAGATTTGTGCAGAGAAGAGAGAAATCACAAGAACCACAAATTGAATGACTAAAAGGGAAAGTGACAAAGTTTTTGGGACAACCAAAAAAAGAAAGTTGGCAAAGTTATAAGGGACGGAGGGAGTATAATACTAGTACATTTTACACTTTTACTTTTCAATTTAGTAATTTTTTATTGACAAAGATATAACGGTAGAAGCACTGTAGAACTATTGCATTACACAAGATTATTGTAATGATTTTATTCCTAATTTATTTTCGAACAACCAAAACATAAGGCTAGCTCCGCGGCAGCCATAGGTTGGATCCATGACAAGTTCTATATATGAATTGGCAAAGCCATATTGATTAAAAAAATGCAATTTTAAATAGATATAAACATTGATTATAATAAATATGGGTTGAGAATATGTAAGTCCTACATAAAAGGTAGATCTTCTCGTGTGTAGTAACCAAACATAATAGACCTTACTGCATTGAACTGTCTGAGATTTCTCATGAGAAAGAAGCACCCAGCATTTCTGAGGACGTACAAACAACATGCACAACCATGAGCATGTTGCCATGTGTCAAGTATTATCTTTTAAAATGCTAAACTTATCATCTTTAGAGATCTAAAATGAAAATGGGAGTAATGAATTTTTCTTGGTCTTTACTCTCCTAGTAGACACAGATGAGTTACATACTTGGAGAAAGTCATATTGTTTGAGAAATAAGACTTTGGCGGTTGTTCTACGAGCCACATCATTTTGAGGAACTAAACAATACTGAAATTTAGGGACAGAGTAACAGAAAAACTGAAATACCTAAAACTGTACATCAGAGCTTATGTCTACCATTTAAATCTCATTTGACATCTGATAGGTTATGGCACAATTGGATGGTGTGGATTTAGATATGGAGCAGTCGTCAACTAACATTTCTGTCAGGAAGCCTCGGATACTGCTTGCTGCAAGCGGAAGTGTTGCCGCTATTAAATTTTCGAATCTATGCCGTTGCTTTTCTGAATGGGCAGAAGTAAAAGCTGTTGCTACGCAGTCGTCTCTACACTTCATAGACAAACCTTCACTTCCGAAGGATGTTGTTCTATACACAGATGATGATGAATGGTCCGAATGGAAGATGATTGGTGATAGCGTGTTACACATTGAGCTCCGCCGTTGGGCTGATATTATGGTTATTGCTCCTTTGTCAGCAAACACGCTTGCCAAGGTAGTATTAAACTTTCTTTTTCTTTCAGAAGATTATTTTCTGGATTTTCTTGTGTTTGGTACATAAATGTATTTTCAATCACAAGATTCTTTGAGTTTTTCTGGAAAAACAACTTTTCCTATTGAAAAAGGAAATCATAAAGACATAAACCTCTAATAGCAACTTCGAAGTCTTCATGTGGTGGTTTGCAATACAAACCAACCAAGCCAAAGAGGAGCTAGTACACTTCAGTGTTTTCTGTTCTCTTCTGTCAACTATAACAACTCCCGTAAGAAAAGTGAGAGTCATGGGTAGTGAATGTACAAGTTTATTGTTTTGATTTGTATATCTATTGCAAGTTGTCATTTGTCAATTATACTGTAGAGTATAACGTCCAGATGAGTTATATTATGCAGAATTGATAAGTTATAACTAAAAAGAAATGTACAAAAAAAAACTCTTAATTTGAGACCAACACATTTTTATAATGAATTCCTATATATAGATTGTTTTGTGTTTTGACATTTATGTTTTTTTTTCAAACTATATTTAACCTGCGGCAACACTTTTATGTTTTGTAAGAATCACATTCAATTCAATGAAAGTGTCAGCTTCTTTTGCTAAAAAGAATAATTAGACAAAAGTATTTTTGGAATTCTTTTTATGGGTTGGGGGAGACGCATGTAATAGAATAAGAAGGGCAACTTATTCCTTTCCGTGAAAGCAATTTCTTGAAAAATATTAACCAAAACTTATTTTTCCTGTAACAGAAGTACATAGCACAGCCTAGGTTTTGTATTTTCCATTGATTATATATATATACATACATATATATATATACATACATATATATATATATATATATATACACACACACACACATACATACATATATACACACACACATATACTTCGTTTATAATATGTATGATAATTTCCATCAATTGCAATGGAGCCGAAGACTTTATTCTTTGGCTTGGGAATATGATGGAATAAAGCAAAATAACTCACTAAATTGTCTGCGCTTCTTTGTTATGAAGCAGCAGTCAGCCCATGCAATTTTCAGTGCGATTTTACTATGTTTCATCCAGAAACAGTCTTGACTGCGTACATCTAACCCCCCTTACCCCACCGTAGGTGGGAGCCTTTGTGGCACTGGGGTAATGATAATGATGATGATGACTATGATGATGATATAATATGTATGATAGGCATGAATTGTTCTGCAAGATTCATAAGGCAATTTCTGAGTTGTCTAATGACCTCAATCATGTTGCAGATTGCTGGGGGATTGTGTGATAATCTGTTGACATGCATCGTGCGGGCATGGGACTATAGTAAACCACTTTTTGTTGCTCCTGCCATGAACACATTCATGTGGACTAATCCATTCACTGAGAGACATCTCATGGTGATGGATGAGTTCGGAATTTCTCTTATACCACCAGTATCAAAGAGACTCGCTTGTGGAGAATATGGAAATGGAGCCATGGCTGAGCCTTCTCTAATCTTCTCCACTGTAAGACTCTTTTATGAGTCTTGCACACAGTCTGGTAGTAACAACAATTCTGGATTGTGAAAACCTCTCATACTTGGTCGAATTAATTCATTGGAATGCTATGTGAAAATGTTTTTAGGATTGTGACCTGCAAACTCTTCATTTCAAACTATCCAACAGTATTATTTGTTGCGGGAACTATTCTGAGGAATGACAATAGAGTCTAGTATCAACCGAGCACTGGATTGACTTGAATATCCAACTATCCAAGTATTTATCTAATAATAATAGTAATCTTTAAATCTTACAAAGCTTAATCCAGCTAAGGGCCATTTGGGTACATAAAATTTGTTTGAAGGGCCATTTGGGTACATAAGATCTGGGATAAATAAATCTTCATTCAGAATATATCTCGCTTCTTTCAACCTTATAAATGACTAGTATCCCAATTAAGGATGATCCTCCATCCCCGACTCCCCGAGGGCCCTCAAAACTGACCGAAGGAGGAAATGACTAGTATCCCAAATTCTATATAATGGGTATCTGAAAAGAAAGAATGATTGTAAATAATGTTTTAAGCATTTGTCACATAGCACATTATATGAGGATCACTTCATATCCTCATGTTAATGAGGATGAGACTAGAGGGTCATAGACCGCTCATAGGTAGCAACATTATTATTTCTTTGTTTCCTTTGTATGAAGTATTTCTTATTTGAAATGGTAAAAACTTAGCTCCACTCTGGGGCGGAGCTAGGGGTGCCCAGGCTAGGCCCTGGCCCACCCCAAATTAAAAAAAGTCAATATTTTCAGTGTAAAAAATTTCGTGTAAAATTTTTTCCAATAATATTCTTTGTACCGGCCCAGTCTGGCCTAGTGCCCTGGCTCTGCCCTTGGCTCCACTTGTTTGTGTATTCTCCATCAATATAATGGGAATGAGATGAGGTTGTAGCATATATGAGATTGAGCTAAGTAGTAAACTAAGAGATGCTTGTCTTAAATTTAGGGCCAAAAGAGCAACATACAACTAACCATGACTCAAAATATGGATTTATAAAACTAATCCAACATTATATAAGGATTGTCCTTAACTCTTGTTTTTTGTCACCGCAGTGAGATGGTGACAGCAGCTCGGCGACAGCGGCAGCGGTGGATGGCGGCTCCGGCGCAAGAAAATTAGGGGTGGACTCGGGTCCGGGCTGGGTCCGGGTCGGGCCTAGGCCCGGGCGGGCCGGCGGTTCAAGAATGGTGGACCCGGGACCGGCCCGAGTAGCCACTGGGTCTGGTCCGGGTCCGGGCCGGGCCTCCGGTTTGGATTTTTTTTTTTTGCTTTCCTAACACCCACCCCCCTCACCCCCACCCTCCCAAACCCCCCCAAACCCATCCTACCCATCAAGCCCAACCTGGGTGGAACCCCAAAAATGAAAAAAAATATAAAAAATTCAATTTGGCCCGGGCCCGGGCCCAACCCGGCCGGGCCGGTTCACCAAATTTGAGACCCGAGCCCGGACCCGCCCTACCCCCCGGGCCTAGGCCCGACCCGGACCCGGACCCGAGAACCGGGCCGGTCCCGGTCCCGCACAGTAGCGGGCCGGGCCGGTCCCGCACAGTAGCGGGCCGGGTGGCCCGACCCGAGTCCAACAATACTTAAATTAAAGAGGTGAAGAGTGTTTTATTCCCCATCGTCTTAATAAATAATTTTAATTCTTGTATTCGTTGTCTTGCTTGGAGGTGATTCCTCTCCGAAATTTAGATTGGTTATACTTTTGTTTGGTCTCCTCGCATGTTTAGGGAATGCAAAAGGAGAGAATTGCATGCAAAGGAGGGAAATAAACAGGCATCGAGTTTGCAAAAATGAAACATGTGCTCTCTTAAAGTGCAATATTGTATCATTTGTATGGTTAAACATCTTCATGTTAAAGTTAATCATCTAAAATTTTAAGTACTGATTATTATTATTATTATCGTCGCCGTCACCGTCATCGTCGTCATCATCATCATCAAATGACTTAAGAAAGAACGAAGTGTCATTAGTAGGGCTGGGTTCGGTTCGGGTCCCGAACCGATTCACCATATACCCGAACCGAACCGATATTTCGGTTTACAAAATTATCAAAATCGAAACCAAACCGATATAATATCAGAAACCGATTTTTGGTGCCCGATTTTTTCGGTTCGGTTTACCGGAACCCGAAAAAACCGACTCAGTTGTAATAATTAAATTTAAACTAATATCCAATAGACTAAAATCCATTGAAACATGCTAAATTTTTAGCCCAATTAGCCCAATGGCAACCTAGAACGTGTCTTAGCTGCCTAGAATGTATCTTGCCATTCTAAACTGAGGGACCTAGTTTATATTGATGATTTTGGAGTAGGATGCTACTCATTATCCGGTGTGGGACAAAATGGAAGAGGAAAGAAGCCAATTTTAAAAAATCAAACATTACGGATGCAAGCAAGAATCGATCCCCCGACGTTTCAATGCGAATAGGCTACGACTGCCCAACTCCGCTACTAGTCCAATTCGTCTAATTCGTACTCGGAATAATATTATACCTGTATTAAACTGTCATTAATTATTAGTATTACTAATATAAAAATTGTCGGCTCGGTTCGGTTTGAACCGATTTTTTAAAAATATAAACCGAGTCCGAACCGATTTTTATCGGGTCCCAATTTTCGGGTCCCATTTTCAATCGGTTCGGTTCGGTTTTTTTCCAAAGCGGATTGGTTTTTTTCGGTTCGGTTTTCGGTTTTTCGGTCTAAAATGCCAGCCCTAGTCATTAGTCCTTCAGCTACACATAGGTAAACATAGTGTTGGACTGAGCGGTACCGGCCTGGTCCGACTGACTTTTAGCGGTCTTCTTACAATAATCACATCTTGTCATAATTCAGGAATATTTCAATCTTTACACCACATCTTCATTCGTCGGTCCCTGACCGGTTGATGACCTGCTATTACATGTTTTTTTATTCTCTCTTCAAATTATTCAACCATAAATCTCAACTTTCACAAATCTTCTCAAAGCGATCCCACGCATCATTTTTCTTTTTTTCTCCCTAAAACTTTTCCTTTTTATTTTTATCGCCTTGACTCTTTTATTTCCCTTTTTGGTCTTATTTTTATATCTTTTCAATTTTTCATGTGTATGTATTCCATTTTTTTGTAGTTTTTCTTTTCCCGTTTATTATTTCATTTTCATTTTTATATATTTTTCGGAATAGTTTCCTTCTTATAAAAGATATTTTTCCGACCGTACTAACTTTTTACTTTACTTTCTTAGTTACATTTTTAGTTACACTTATTTATTTCATATTTCCTTTTCTTACCTTTATTCCATCACTAATACTGTATATTTTTGAGAAAATAGTCCCAAAATAGGACTAAACTAACATCTAAATGCATAAATAGGACTACATTATTTATTTTCCCAAAATAGAACTAAAGTACAATCTATCTTCTTATTCTACATTTCTATCTCTGCCATAACTTCATAGAATAATCATATTTTACATTATAATAAAAAATAAAATTAAAAAAGTATTTCAATTTATAAAAATATAGCAAAAAAAGTTTTTTATTTTTTTTTTGAAAAAATATAGTAAAAAAAGTTAAAACTATTTTTAAAAATAATAAAATAATAAATAGTAATAAAAAATAATTTAAAAAAAACTTTAAAAGTAAATAAAAATAGATAAAACACATTAAAAATAAAAATTGGAGGCCTTTCCTGCAGTCTCGCAACCTCCCAGCAATGCCAACTTCGATTGGCGAAAATGCCATTTTGTGTAAGCACTTTTCTCTTATATTTCCATGAATTTACTCTTTGAAAATGCCAAAATTTTCTTAAAAAAATGTCATGAAGATGGCATTACTAACACATGTTGACATTTTTTACGGTGGTCGAAGATGGTGGTGTGTGGAGGTTGTTGAAGCGGCAACACATGCTTCCATGTTTTTTACTCTTTTTATTTTTTTATTTAAAGTTTTTGAGTTTTTAATTTTATAATTTTCATTTTTCTAATGTTTTACTTTTATTAGTTTTAGTTAATATTTATTTTTGTTTTTTTCTATATTTAATTTTTATTATGAATAAGGTTGTGTGATTACTTTTATGTTTTAATTATTAATGAAATATGAATTGCACTAAACAAAACAAGGATATAATTGGAAAGCTAGTCCTATTTACGAAGTTTTAGAATTATACTCATATTCTTGCAATTAAAGTTTCATTAAATACAATTTGAGGAATGTCACCTATATTTTTCTCTTTTCTAAAATATTCAAAGAAAAAATATAAAAAAGTAGCCCGGAAAATTATAAAAAGAGACTGCAACGAATAGGAATACATAAAAAGGAAAGAAAATTTTAGGAAGAAAAAATAAAAATCATGTGAGACCTTTTCAAAAAGATTTGTATAAGTGAGATTTATGATCGAATGATTTGCAAAGAAAATGAAAAAACTTGGAATAACATGTTACCAACCAGTCAGAGAGTAACGAATAAAGACAGAGTGAAAAAGTTGAATTATTCCTGAAATTACGATAATGTGTGATTATTTTAAGAAAATTCTTGATTATTAAACGAAGACTCTGAGTTATCTCGGGAGGGATTATATTGTACCTAGGGCTGGGCTTTCTTGTTGTTTTCTTTCTATTTTTCTCTTTCCTGTAACTTCTTTTATTATCATTAATAAATAATAACTATACTCCAAAAAAAATTTAAGAAAATTACTAAAAGATTGGATTATAAAGCAGTTCTTCAATTACTATAATCAAACCCAAACATTCCGCTTGGGTGGGAATATTTATCCGCCGTGGGCACCCTAAAAACGAACCAAAACCATGCGCAGATTCAGACCTGTATCCGCCATGGGCAGCCTTTTACTCCCCTGTCACACTGCCTTCACACTCACCCACTTCCCAGCCTTCTCTTATCCGCGACTTCATCTTTCTCACATCATTTCTTTTTCCCGCGCGAAGTCTACAATACAGCCTCTGCGCCCACTATCAACATCTTCGTCCTCTGCAACTTCTGTCATCTCGTCGCCTCCTTTCTTGAGATCGGAGCACCCCGTCGACCCTAAGTACCTCTCATGCTCACTACCGGATAAGAATCCTCTCAAGCTGGCAGTTCTGGTTAGCGGTGGGGTTGATAGCAGCGTCGCTCTCCGCCTCCTCCACGCCGCAGGACACTCCTGCACAGCATTCTATCTAAAAATATGGTTCCAGGTGTGCTCACGTGTTTAATGAAGTTATATTTTGAATCAAATTTATGTTTTCCGGGTAAAAATTGAATCTTTTTAGCAAATTTATGCTAAAAAGTACGGATTCATAACATTTAGTTCAATCCTATAGGAAGGCTTTGAGAACTTCTGGTCTGAGTGTCCATGGGAGGAGGATCTAAAATATGTAAAAGCTGTCTGTGATCAGGTTCCTCTCTACCCTTTTTTCTATGCCTTTTTAATTGAGCATCTATTAGATCACATCTTTTCCTTTCTAACATTAAATGACACTTGAATTCAGGTTGACGTCCCTCTGCAGGTTGTGCATTTGACTGATGAGTATTGGAATAATGTGGTATGTTAATGTTTATGCCTTTAAACCTTTATATTATATTACCCGCAACATTTAAGTTTTCTAATATTCTTTTGATGGTGTGCTACATGCATTTGTGGTTTTGAATTGCTTATAAAATTAGCTTGTGGGAAAGGTGGGGCCTGGATGGGGTTATGCGGAGCAAACGAGGGCTTAAGTTTAGCCCATTAGCAGATGTGGTTTAAAGTTGGAAAAAGACTATGATGTGGAAGAGAAGTTTAGCCCATTGATACAACTAGGTGGGGGGGGGGGGGGGGGGTTAAAATGCAACTGTGGATATTGGAGTTTTTTTTTATTTACAAGGATTGATGCTTTTCAGGTATCATACATTATCGACGAATATAGATGTGGACGGACTCCAAATCCAGATGTCCTTTGCAATACAAGAATAAAATTTGGTTTGTAGTTCTGTCACAAAAGAGCTATTTACTTACTTGGTACTTCCCATTTTTTCACAACTTCATTTAGAAGAGGTTTGTTTAATTTTTAGGTGCATTTATGGACACAATAAGTGGAATGGAATTTGACTTTGTTGCTTCTGGACATTATGCAAAGATTGTTCATGCGTCTTCTGATCAACCACTCCAGCCTTCTGTTCTGGAATTGTCAAAAGATGTGGTATGCATTTCTATAAGCTTTTAGATTATTCTCTTGACCTTGCTTATAAATGTTGACGAAGTCTATCATAAGCATGCAAGATACCAGAAGTCCAAAATACCATCAACATAAAATCAAGAAAGCATTCTTTTTGTGTTAAAAGATAGTTGGTATTTTATAAATAATAAAGCATATAATATTGATTTTCCATCTCCTTAGTATGCTGTATCTTTATTCTCATTTAAAGCAAAGTAGTTTATATTAGATCTAAGACGAGGGTAATAGCTAATCTGCTAATGCCAAGCTAGGTCTTCGCACATAGTGCTACATTTTTGCAATATTTGAGCATATCTGGTGAGTTTCTTAAACCCGTTTGTTTAATCTTTAAACAACTGTTGTTGACTTATTGTGAAATGGGGGAGTATAACTTCAACTATTTACGGAAAACACTTAAACCTCACTAGTAGCTTAGGATCTGGCTACGGGTGTCAAACTGATTCCAAAGCTACCATGCATATAAGCATTGCAATGAGTGATTTTAAGGGTTTGTTTGGATCACATAGAATTCCAGGGTAAAAAAATGGGAAGGGGCACATGGAGAGACATCGGAAGGAAAGATAATTTGGGGGAAAATAAAAGAAAATATGTAACTCAATAATTATTTTAGATGAATGTTATTACTCATTTTATTAATTTATGTCTACTCTTACAGGCTAATAAATCTAAATATGTTAAAAAATGAAACTATCAAAGTAACATTCATATATCATTTTCTTATGCGAATGTATGGGATAAATCCTAAGGTGAAAACAAACTTTCTTTGATACTATTTTCGTATCCCCAGTATTTTACAGTTTATACTGGATCCAAATACACCTTAAGTGAGCAGTTAAATCCAGCAAAAATAAAAATGGCAAAGGATTCATAATATATTTGTTTACTACGTGTGAACTTGCTGTGTATTTTTCTATTGATATTAATATTATTGGATACTTATATTCTTTGATACCTTGGACTTGTTATTCCTAGTCAATTAATCATTAGCATCTGTTTAGTGTTCTACTGAGCTCAGGTCTTCATTTGTCATATATCTGTTGTAGGTAAAGGACCAAACATACTTCCTATCACATCTCTCACAGTCTCAACTTAAGCGACTTATTTTCCCTCTTGGATGTATTCCAAAGGTTAGGTGAGATTGATATTTCTCATAATTCATAAACAAGAAGTCATTGAATATATATTTATAAAATTGTTTCTTGATACATTTGACATCCACAGGAAGAGGTACGCAAACTTGCTAAGTTATTTGATCTACCAAACCAGGACCGTAAAGATTCACAAGGAATATGCTTTCTTGGCAAGGTTTGTGTTACTTTCTGAAAAGACCATATTTTAATTATATTATTAAGCGTTAAGGTGGTCCATCTTATTTCCTTCTCCGCCTTCCTTTCGCTTCTGTTTGCTTCATAAGGAGGGAGGATGGGAAAGTGGAAGAGTTTAAAAAGTTGCAATGTTTGGTTCAATGGAGGGGTGATTATGACCTACACATTATTTTAGTATATATCCCTCCGTCCCCCTAACTTTGTCCTGTTTTACCTTTTTCGTCCGTCCCATTAAGTTTGTCCCGTACCATATTTGGTAATATTTGGGTGGTTACAATTCATTCTTTATTCACACTTTATCAATTCAATATCTACCACACAATTCCACTTTTTCTTAAAAGTTGTGCCACACTCTCTTGAGTCTTGTCCCAAACATAGTGGGACGGAGGTAGTATAAAATATTTATATTTAATCCCCTCTCTCCGGTTTTGTTGGATAAACTTTTGTATGAAACTTTTTTCTTTCCAATTTATCCTTTTATGCATCATTTCACCTTTTACTATAAATGGATCCGTATTACTTTCTCCCTACCTCCCCCCACCCACAAACTCCTCCACTTTCTCCTTTACCTTCTTCAAAAACCTCTATCAAACAAGGGACTTGGGACTTGACTCCCCATTTACCTGATTAAGCCATCTAGGTTGTCAAAGGAAAAGTAACAATTTTAGCTAGGACTTGTATCTCTGTTACTATTCTGAAGATGTTACTTCTCTCACAAAAAAATCATTTCAAAGTATTTTTTATAGTTTATCATCTTAGTTTTATGTCAATTGCTCTACAGATAAAGTTTTGTGATTTTGTTGCACGACACATCGGGGAGGTAGAAGGGATTATATTAGAAGCCGAAACAGGGGATTATCTCGGAAAGCACAGAGGGTTTTGGTTCTACACTATTGGTCAAAGACAAGGTCTACGGCTTCCTGGGGGACCATGGTATGATCTTTCTAGAATGTCTTCTCGTACCATTTTTATGGCCTCAACCTTGGGCTCTTGGACCTCTTACTATTTTTTTGTTATTATATATTACCTCTGTCCCTTTTCTAGTCAATGATGGTAAACTTTGGTCATTCATTTTAACAATTATATATTTGCAAAAGTTATAAATTTTATACTTTTATGATAGTATTTTTGATAAGTAACTGAAGAATCCAAGAAGAAAGTAGTAGTTTATTAATGAACATTTAGTGAAGGAATACAGAAAGTCATGAAAGGAAAGGTTTGAGACTCTTCGAGTGGTCTCTCACTCCCAATATCCCAGTCCTGATCCCAAGTTCTGCCCCCCATCTACTCACCACTCACCCTTATTTATTCTATTTCTAATGGGCCAGTCAAGGCCAACTACTACCAGGCCCAGGACCCTCTATTACACTATCACACTTAATTATTATTATTCTCGTAAGCCCATTATCCTAACATATCTCCCCCGTTGGACAACCACCTTGTCCTCAAGGTGGGTGATATTAAACGGCCTTGATCTTTAGGTTCACCTTCATTCTTGCGCCTCTCCCTTCCCAGTACTTCACTGCTTTCTGGACCCATAGCTTCCTGATTTGAACCTTCATCATCACTCCTTCAATAGCAAGAAAGAGCATAGCAAGAAAGAGCAGAGGCAAGGACTTTGTTGCATCCTGCTCCACAATGTTGCAGAGGTAAAGATCTTCTAGTAACTGCATCTCTGGCCCAACTTCCCACCACTTTATGCTGTATTTCCTGAAATTTTTCTCTGCAGCTTCAGCAACTGTCCCTTCGAGCAAAGCATGAGTTGAAAGTGAGCTGGCATCGGCCTCAACATTTTCTGCCCCTTCCGGATTATCTGGTGGACGTCCTGTGGGTTGAATATCGTCATCGTTCATCTCCCTAAACGTGTAATGAATGCCATAAATAGCAGAGAATGTGGGTAGGTTTGACTTCCTTTTTAATATAGAAAATAAGTGTTTGTTCTCCAGCTCCCATACCATAGGACCTTCCATGTTGTTCCCTCCAACTGCTTTCAGCATACCATATGTGGTCCCCATAGTTAAGAACTGTTGAATAGGGTCAAAATGATTCCAGTACATCACACCACCACCAAAGTGCTGATTATAATCCATACCAAGACAACCAGAGACCTCTACTTCGTCTTCTGTGATATGATAGTGGTGCAGTACTTTTTCAGCATCACTATTGTTAGCTACTTTCATAAGATCAGAATTATAGCAGTGAATATAGCTCAAACTATCAAACCCCTCAGAGGAATTATTTTGATTTTGCATTTCAATTTTGTCCTCCTTTTTCTCAGACTTTGATTCATCCTCTTCCAAGTCCTCAGTTTCCTCTACACAGACGGTCTCTGTAGAGCTTTCCCAAGTATTTGAAACAACAATTTTATCAACAGCAGATTCATATTCCCTGGCAACCAAGGATTGAGTCATCACAGAGGATTTTTCCTCTCGTCCCTCATTACAGTAGATGAACGTACCTTCAGAGAGAGTTTTCTGCGAATTGCCCGACTCTTGTGACACGTACAACAACGGCGACGTGGAGGCTTCTCCTTCCAATCGCATCGTACCTTGAAGTGAACTGCTAGGGTAGGATGAAGTCTGCGAACCGATGGTGTCTCCTCTGTCTGGAGTGATACTAGGGTTCGCATAGGGATTTCGCAGCGATTTGGAGTCTCCTTCTGATAGCCTCACACTTTGATTCGAGATGATAGTAGATGAAGAGACCTGCGAACAAGGGAGGTCTATTTGCGAAGAAACTTGTTGACTGGAAGATGCTGTTCGCGACGAAGCTGAAGAGGCTTGCGAAGACATCTGCGGACCGGTAGAATCAGCTAGCGACTGTGAAGAGACCTGCGCTAGCGAAGGTGTCTGCGAACTACGCGAAGCAGTTCGCGATTGCGAACTAGGAGGAGCGACGGACGGAAACATCTGATTTTCGATTGGCCGACGGTGTCTAGGTGGACTCCTAGCTCTGTCTCTATGTCGCCTCTGACGGTGACGAAGTTTGCACAGCATATAGCGCAACTCCTTCCACTGACTGTCGCTATTGTCCATCTTCTTCTTCAACTGTCGTTGAAACTGACGATCGATTCAGGCTCCAGGAAGGATGCTTTGATACCAATGATAAGTAACTGAAGAATCCAAGAAGAAAGTAGTAGTTTATTAATGAACATTTAGTGAAGGAATACAGAAAGTCATGAAAGGAAAGGTTTGAGATTCTTCGAGTGGTCTCTCACTCCCAATATCCCAGTCCTGATCCCAAGTTCTGCCCCCCATCTACTCACCACTCACCCTTATTTATTCTATTTCTAATGGGCCAGTCAAGGCCAACTACTACCAGGCCCAGGACCCTCTATTACACTATCACACTTAATTATTATTATTCTCGTAAGCCCATTATCCTAACAATTTTTAACAAAGAACATTTTGATATCATTTTCATATTACAAGTACTTTGTATATAAATATAGTATCATTCAAATTTTAGCATCGTTAATTGTAAAAGTCAAAGACGCCTAACTAAAAATGGACCAAGGAAGTATTAATATAAAAGTAATTTGCAGTATGATTGATTAGATGATGGATCTTTGTAAAATGTTTATGATTTATACTCCGTAGTAGTTATTATGGATTATTATTATCTTCTTTATGTGTAACACTTATTAGACTTTTACTAAAAATTTGGCGTTTTTTATAAATTTAGTATAAGAACAAGACCTAGTGATCCTGAGTAATTGGTCCTACTCGCTACTCGTCTCTTGACCGAGTAGCCACCGAGTACCGATTTAACTACTTAGATTCAATCATCTCTATTCATTATTGTCACCTACATTAACACACTAGCATATAAAAGAAAACATGAGTACTTGACCCATCATAGGAAAACAAATAATATGTCATCTAGGGAGTGCTTTTTTTTACTTGATGCAGTAAACTTGTAGCCATATTGCCTGCTATGTTTTATCATCTCAGCATTTCATCTTTGTATTGAATACAGGTACGTTGTGGAGAAAGATAGTAAGAATAATGTGGTGTTTGTGTCAAGAAACTACTTCTCGGCTGATAAGAAAAGACGCCTATTTCGTGTTGGATCACTGAAATGGCTAAGTGGGAGCTATCCTGCACATGCAAATCAACTTCAATGCAAGGTAGGCATGTTCTTTTCTCTGAGCTAGACATGCCTTGGATTCTTTGATCACCCCATCCTCTTTGTTTCATTCTCTTTATTTGATCAGACTTGTTAAATTCTCGATCATTCATCATTTTCATTTACCCCAGTGACGCAAAGGCTCCCACCTACGGTGGGGTAAGGGAGGGTCGGATGTACGCAGTCTTACCCCTGTACTAAAGCACAGAGAGACCGTTTCCGGATGACCCATAGTAAAAATCGCGTCCAAAATTGCATGGACTGACTGCTGCTTCATAACAAAGAAGCGCAGACAGTTTAGTGAGCCATTTTGCTTTATTCCATCATAATTTCAAGCCAAAAAATAATGAATCTTTGGCTCCATTGCAAATGATGGATGAACAACATATTTCTAAGCTAAATGTATATAATCTAGTATCGAAGTGAATATGGAAGTGTCATTCCCTTCCATTTCAACCACAAAAACAACAACTTTTGCAATATATTTTTTCAGCTGGCGCACTCAAACAAGTACTAGCCTGGCAGGTAAATGGTATAAGTTGTACCATAAGTGGTGGTATTGATGGATTTTGGCACCCCAATTACAGAATGAAGCAAAGTTTTGTCAAAATCATTTGATTTGATAGTTGGTTGCGATAACTTTTTAATTAATTAATTACACACAACTCTTTAGAGAAAGAATGTGAAGCTCGGGTTGTCAGGTCAGATTGTTCTGGCCGGAATTTCAAATGAGACAAGTAAATGTACTTAGAGTACTAATTTATTCCATTTAGTAAATGCATCTTACCATTGTTTTAAAACTTGCTAGGCGCTAGTCGGGCAGTTGAGGGGCGCCTAGCTCCTAGGCACCGACTAGGCCAATTTTTTAACTGATTAGTCCTCTACAGTTAGGGCTGCCTAGCGCCTAGGCGCCGACTAATCGGAGCGACTAGGCAGATTTTTAGAATAAAATGCATCTTACCAATACTTAAGGTACCATTTGAACATTTTACTAGTGTTGGATATAAACTGTAAGGCTTGGATGGCTTGGATGTTGTTGTTATATTAGTGTTGCACATAAACTGTAGCTGATACAAACAATAACATCCAAGCCTGAAGTCCCAAAAGAGTTTGGGGTTGGGTAACACGATTTAATACTACTTATATGATTGAGAGCTAAAAAAGGATAAAAAAGATGATAAGATAAGATAAGCTAAAAAGAAACCAAAGTTAGAAAAGATAAAAAAGATAAGATAAAGATGAATATACAAAAGAGAAGATAAAAAAGAAGGCAAGCTACATGCTTTATGTGCTGTCTCGTATCTTGTGGAAATGACCAATCAACTAATGGTTGATAACATCACTTGACATGTCAATATTAGACCATTTATACGTTAAATTCTTCAATGTATAGCAACAATTTTATAGGTTCGCCATGGCCCCACTCTCTACAACTGTAGTTTGGCAATGGAAGTTGACAACAATGGTAAAACAGTTGGTGTCGTCCAGCTGTCTCAAGATGATCAAGGGCTGGCAGCAGGACAGTTTGCTGCTTTCTATGATGGGATGACCTGTCTTGGCTCTGGCGTCATCATGGATTCATGGGATGATCAAGGGTATCCAGTATGCGGAAGGGCTCTTGAAATAGCAAGAATGGAAGATAAGTCAATGCTTGGCAGACCAGTGAGAATAACAGTTAAATCGGGTAATGATCGTTTAATGGAATCTGATCCCAAAGATCATAGAGAGAATCTAAATCCTATTGTTGGTTCTGAAACCATTGAGCGGAATATGTCTTACCAAGGAGAGGATCACAGAGTATTGAATTGGCTAGAGTGGCTAAAGAAGAAGTGGTTACAAGTTTTCTAGTATGTTTATAGGTTGTATTACTGTATACTAGTGTAGTGTAGTACCATTGTACCAAGTTATTTAAAATTAATGTAACTTACCAAGGAGAGGATCACAGAGTATTGAATTGGCTAGAGTCTAGAGATATTATTTAATTTTTTGAGTTTATGTTCCAAGTTATTTAAAATTAATGTAACTTTCATAAATAAAATGTAAATTAATTTCAATAATTTATATCATAAAACATAAATTATTACCACTATTTGACTAAGATTATTTATAATCATATATGATTCAGCAGTTCTCCGTGAAGACATTATATTGAGCTTTACCAAACAAAAAGTTCCTATTTTCTGCAACTTAGACCAGTCATGTGGAGTTCTTACATTGAGTGCCTATTACATTGATACTTGGAGTTGTGCTTATGATACAGAGACTGTTGGGCAATGCTCAATGAAGGGCATTGATTCAGTTGGAACATACTTATTGGCAGATTTCATTTGGTCAAGTCAAGGGAAAGTTGATCCTTGTACTATCACGAAAAAGTCAATTATGTCTTCTTTAAAAAAGGTCAATCAAATTCTCGAATTTTGAAAAAATGTTCAATTGGATCAATTAGCAGATTATCCACCACGTCAGCAGGTCACTCGATGACATGAACTATAGTTGAAATGAGAGTTTTACTTTGAAGTAGTAGTTGTATTTATTGACCCTCAATTCCCCCATAGGTGATGTTCAGGAGGTCAGCCCTAATAGTATTCTCTCATTTGACTTTTAATTGCAATAGTTTCACCGGTGGAAAATCATTAAACTGTAGTGCCTTTTTTGCGGCGCTTAAATAATAAGCACCTTCAAAAATTTAATGTGCGGCGCTTATACTTTAAAGCGCCGTCCACTTCTTCAATAATTTGATAATATTTTCTTTATATTGCGTGCGGCGCTTATTTATAATTAAACGCCGCATAGATTTTCAAGTTTTATTTAAAAGACTTGCACTTTACACCCCATTTCACTTGGAAAATTCTTTAACTTTGTACCCCACTTCAAAAAATTTGCTTCACAAAATGTTTATGATGGGTGTAAAGTCAAATTTCTTTTTAAATGAAGTGCAAAGTCTAATGTCACCCAGAAATTGAGATGCAAAGTCAAATTGCTCCAATATCCCCGCAAGCTAGTACTTGGGAGTTAGGAGTGTAACTTTGTAGGATGTATTGTTTTCATTATTAGCAATCTTATAAAATTAATTTTTTGATCTTCATTGGAATATATCTCCTACTTATAGTCCTACTCTTTGTATATTTGAATTTTTCTAATAAATTGATAGGGCGTTCCCTCACTCCGACCCCAAAGAACTTCTTTTGGCTCCTCACCGGGTAAAAAAAAACTCCTACTTTTCCGCCCTTTTCTGTCAAACGGTCATCCTTATTTCTAACGTCCGTTTGTTCTCATCACAGAAGTGAAAGTATATACTCTCTATATGGTGGTCTGTACATCTCCTCCAATTGGATTTGGGCTCTCAATCTCCGTGTCTTGTTGAATCGTCTTATTCAAGTTTTGTTGTTGTTTATCTATATACTCTTCTAGGGCTAATCTCATATTTTGTGGCTATTTTTTCTGTGAACTCTTTGTGATTCTCACTCATATTTCGCTTGGTGAATTACTTTTGGGTTTGATTCATTTAAGAGTTTTCTTTAACGAGAAATTTTAGTTGACCACTTTCAGGTTTGATGTATTATCACTCAAATCCATACACTATAAAAATGCACTCGTAACCCTTCCAATCCTTACGATTAAGTAATTTCTAATTTATACTTAGAGAAAATTACAAATATACTTCCGTAACTTTTGATTTTTCCGCTTTTAATATTGTAACTTAATTTAATCACATATCTGATCGGATAATCAATAAATTTCTTCATATTGAAGACTTTTTCACCGGAAATCAAACCTAATAAAAAAAAAACCAAAAACGATCAAAAACTAGCCTCACTTCATCCAGTTACTTTATGCTTTTGGATTTGAAAATGCCTTAATTGAAAAAAGCCGACCAAAATATGTTAAAATTGACCAAAATTGAAACAACCATGACAAATTTAGTCGAAGATAACTTTAGAGTTTATTTCGAGAAATAATTTAAATTCTATGATCTGCTATTGTATCTGATTTAATTTGTATGAGAAAGATTTACTTTCATTATGATTTACATCATAGGTGAACTATAATATACTTTAAAGTTTTTTAGAAAGATAATATACTTTAGAATTAGCTTCAAACAATTTCGATTGATTTTTTCAATTTCTGTCAATTTAAGCATTTTGATTCGACTTTTTCAATTTAGTCATTTTTCAAATCCAAAGACATAAATAGAACTCTTTAATATAGATTGATTTATTAATTATCAAATTAATTCTGTAATTGACTAATACTACAACATTGAAAGCGGACACAATCAAAAGTTAAGATCTATATCACTAATTTTCTCTAAACATAAATTAAAAGTTATTTAATCATCATTAAAGAATAAGGAGGTAAGAAAACATTTTTTATAGTGTAGAAATGCTGGTGGTAATACATAAAACCTGAATAATAATTACCCTTCTTTAATTTGGAGATTCCGTTAAAACCACACCGAAGTGGTCAATTAGAAAGATTCTTCATTTTACTTGGTACACATTACGGTAATAATTTAAATAATATTGAAATTGTTTGAACGGTAGAGAATCCGTGAAATCCTAATATTATTATACAATACTCCCTCCGTCCCATTAGACTTTGCCAACTTTCCCTTTTTTGTTATCCCAAAAAACTTTGTCACTTTCCTATTAAAACAACCAATTTGTAATTCTGCATATTTCTCTCTCCTCTGCACAAATCTCACAAATTAGATCTAGGCAAACTTTTTCATAGCCAAGTAGTTGTGGAATGTGGATACAGGCTGATTTTGAATTTTGTTGAAAGAATTCATTTATAATCAAAGGTGAAAACAGAATACACTTCATTTCATTATTCTACTCCTTTCTGTTTTTTGTTGGGCACATAACCTTCGCACAATGTGCGAACATAGCTAGTATAATACTCCCTCCGTTTCTGAAACAAGTTCCACATTTGACTTCACACATTAAGAAAATAAATTTGACTTTACTGTGGAGTGCACTATTTGGCACTGTTTGACATTGTTTTGATGTAGATAATTTACCAAATAAGGAAATGTTTGAAAGTGGAACTTAATTTTGAATGTGCCCGAAAAGGAAAGGTGGAACTTGTTTCAGAAACGGAGGGAGTAATAAAATATGGGCTTCTATAGGTCGTGAATCGTGATATGAGCTAACTGGTGTGTTTCTTTTCTTTTTGACAGAAACTGTTGTATTTCGCAACATGAATATCCATTGATGTATTGGTATCTCAAAATCGGATTAATGGTAATTATATTACAGCTACCAACCTACCACCCTTTGCCCCCACCCCCCCGACAATAACATTAGGATAAAAACTGAGCAAAAAAAATTAGAGGTAAAACCGCGCGTAAAAGATAGATTGATTTTTTAAAACACGGTACATAGTCAATCAGCTACAAGGATGGCAATGCAGTTATGGGTGGAGTGAGATGAATGCCTGGCCTTGAGGCCCATCCCTTTCTATTCCTGTAGGCATCAACTGCTTTTAGGCGAAGTCTCTCTTGTGAAGCTTCCAATGTCATCTTCCGCACCTTTCCATGACACACATTAAAACATTCAATTCAGAGTAAGATGGCATTGATAAAAACACATTAACATCGGATGAAATCATACTTCTCATATAGGGTTGTAGAGATAAACGTGAAGTACATCTATAAACTTCACTAAAAGCTGAAGCCAATTGTTAAACTTCATTATTACTTGTCATTATTCATATTATTTTATATCAACAAGCACTGTTAAATTAAGTCCCATGGTATTATTTAAAAACATAGATATGAGTTAATGAAATAAGGATGTGTCTGTTTTCAGTTTTATTTATTTATTACTTTTTTTCTTGTCCATGCAACATAGTTTGTATTTCTCTAGTTATTAAAAAAGTTATATGTAGTATCTACCTTTGGGAGAGCACCCAGCTTTGGTGGAGCATCAACAACTTCCCCAAATTTTATTTTTTCATGCTTAGGATAGTCAAAAGCTTCTTGTGTACTGGCTTTCTTTCCCTTCTTTTTCTTGTCCTTCAAACGCCTGCATTATTTAAAACAATATCAATTCAATAATTCAATTTAACAAGTGAAACAAAAACCACTTTACCTTAACAAGTTTAGAGCTTGAGCTCACAATGTGGAAATAAGTAAATGAAAATGAAGTATAGCACATCTATTTCTTCTTCATTTAATTGCAGTCGTCTTCAGTAAAAAGAAAATACACTTTTGCCCTCGCCAAAAAAACCTCAACAAAATTAATATTTATTCTCAAGAAACCTACACTAGCTTTGCCTAGGAAGGGGACATAGAGAAGAACAAAAGAAAACTCAGTAGAGGAAGTGTTAAAAATGTACTGCTTCCTGCGCTCCTTTCTTTTCGAACTAGTTCCGCCAAATTCTTCAGTTGATTCAAATCGAAGATCATTTGCTTTTTTCCTTTTCTTCTTACTTTTCTTTTCAGGAACGCTACTTTCTACTGGCTTCTCATCACTGGTTTTTCTTTTGACCCCAGACATTTTACTAGTGCTTTTCTCCTCCAAATGAAGCATCTGTTGACGAGAAGCAAATATAGCAGAGTCAGACAGAACAATCGGATGATTTCATGACTTGTTATTGAAAATCAAATCCTCAAAAGCTACACAAATGTGCAGAGAAACCTGTGAGGAGGTGTCCAAGAGAGCTGGGATATATTGGGTTTACTTAAAGGTTACACAAAGTGAAAACAATAAACTTCACAGGTTGCCTAATGTTTCATTTATCTTTATTGTCTTCTTTTAAGCATTCATAGTGCATAGAACTGTATCAAAAGTTTTTGGCAGCTAAAGTTGCACAATACATCTATTTACATACTAAAGGCCGGCCTGAACTGATAAACATACAGAAATACAATTGGTGAAAGCACAACCCTAAAAACATTAAGCTTTTTGTACCTCTCTAACACCGTCATTTCCTTTTGCACTGCCTTTTGGTGGGGTTTTTCCAGCTTCTAAGAACAGGGAAAATGAATTCAAAAACAGAAGAACAAATCAACAGATTAACAATAAACTACGAAGTGTATAAACTATTAGCCTAAAAGCAATCCAAGTT